ATGTCTGATAGAAATCTGGAGGGCCGGTCTAGGATGTGCATCATGGCCAGGATGTGTACACATGGGCAGGTATAAATAAATGAGTAGGTCTGAATGAAAAGAATGAGACAACAAAGATTTACCATCATAACACAGAATGCGCATCTGAATTACTCTTGTTGTACTCCTGGTTTCCTGCCTAAGGATTTTGTGTTGAGATCTAAGATGTATAATTTCTTTGATATAAACACTGACCTTTTACTTTGGTGAAAAGAATGCATGCAGTGTCTTCTGTTGCAAAGCCTTAAAAGTGTTGTCTCCTGTCAAATATCAATGTTAGAAAGGAAAAGTTTGAGAATTGTAGAAAGGAAAGGTTTCTTTTTGTTTGTAATAACTGAGAAATAGCATCCATGAAGCTTGCAGTGGTAATGCAGTGAATGGTTTAATGTGTAATAGTCATTATAGAAAAATTCATGCCTTCCTAGGTCAGTGGAATGCACACTCAGGTAAGTGCATAGAAGACTGCAGTCCTAAAGTGTTGATTGGCTTTTTAAATCATGGGAACAGGTTTTAAGGCATTGAGTTAGGATATCATGTTAAATCCAATTTCAACAAGCTTGTTTCCTATTTCTTATCCCCACACCCCATCCTGACCCATCTCTCCTTTCTTCTTTTTGATAGAATCAAAGAAACAAAATAAATGGAATCTCAGGCAAAACTGATATCTCAAAATAGGCACTGTCAAATCAATATTCTGAACAAACACATGCTAATACAAAATATTGTAGTTTGGTAGCTGTGTGCATGTATCCACATATGTGTACATATGTACATATACCTCCGTATTGAACTGAAGGCCATCCTTGTCGATTAGTGTAAACAGTGTAACCAACAAAGGATATACATTTTTTTGTAGGGGCATTGACAAGCTATACAGGCTTTTTCAATGCCCAGTTGAGTCTCTATGATTATGCAGCCAGAGAGTTGTGGGTTCCTATATATCAGTGGTTTCCAGCCTTGAGTCTCCAGGTGTTCTTGGACTACAACTCCCAAAAATCCTGGCCAGCACAGCTAGTGTTGAAGGCTTCTGTGAGTTTTAGTCCAAGAATATCTGGGGACTCAAAGTTGGGGACCACTATAATCCGCCTGCTTGGAAAAAGTGATAAAAAGGTGGGAGGATGTTACAGTAAAGTTACATGTCCAGTGTTGTACATTTTTTTGATTATTATATCTGTAACATTCCTAGCTATAAGTATTTAAATACATCCCAGATCCAAGCCCCATCCATGATTACAATAAGATTTTATTTTAAAAAAATAAAATTAATACTTTTAATTACTTTATTTAATGAAAAAGATTGTTCTGTCATTATGTAGCTTGTGTTTGATTGTTTACTTAAGTTTGTCCTAAGATGTGTTTAGTTCACATGCAATGTGTTAAAAACAAAGGTGTTTTTAAAAAAGATTTTGGTGTTTTAGTTCAGATTATATACAATTACGTGTAGATATCTTAAATGGTTCTATTCAGATGATATATTCCCCCTTTTCCATATCCCTATAACATAATGAAAGTAGTTAGTTAGCCAAATGCCTCCCCAAAAAAGATTCAAGCAAATACTCCAGCTCTGCTTTTGTGACAATACATCATATAAAACTTTCCAGAATCTTAACTCTTGCGGCAAAATATTGCTGCCCCAGCATGTTATAGCTTCAGAATTGTGGATAAAAGTGATGTTACACTTTCTTCTCAGTTTCTTCATGATTTCATTTATCTCTGTATCCAGTTTAGTGGATTACAATGTGCGTGTCTGTGCCTATATGTGTCTTGTCTGTCTGTCTATCTTTGTGTGAACTTTATACAAGTGTTTCTATGTTTTATACTTCATTGTTCTTGGATAATATTACCTCAGTGGGGATCTGGCTCTGGTTTCATTCCAATTAAAAATCTAGGAAATGTTTCTACTTTAGAGCAGCTGGAGAGGTTTAAACAAAGTCCGTGTCTCATCTGTATTCCCAGAGTACACATTCCTGGGCTGTGTTAAATGTACTGTATATGTAGTGCAGCACATTGACTTTGAGCTTTACAAATGAAGTTGAAAAGAATGTAAAACATAAGGGCTGAGGTGACTTTTGCAGAATACTAAAACTCATTTTTATTCTGTAATAGTTCAGAGGAGCAGGGAATGAAAGAATGGTGTCTCCTTTTGCAGCTACATATAGGTAGCTGATTTCGAAGATACAAGGTGAAGTCTTCATTGCACTTTGACAAAAAGTGAATAAGATTATGATAACTTTATACCTAATCTTCCTTAACATTTTTAGCATAATATATAAACTACAACTGATCATGGTCTGCTGACTACAACCATATGAACTTTTACTATGCTACATCAAGATTAGACAACATGGTGTGCTATGTATGGGTCTTCCCTTGAAAAGCACTCAGAAATGTTACTTGGGTCAAAGTGCAGTAGCAACACTTCTAAGTATACTCTCTATACTGAACATAAAAGTGTGGCGTTATTAATTTACGTTAGTAACAGATTTGCTTCCAGGCCAAATTCAAAATGCTGTCTTTAACCCTGACGTATCTTAAGAACTCTCCTGCTTCCTGTTATATTTGGGTCAACATCAAAAGCCCTATCCTGTGCCATGGAGAAATGAGTGGGTGGGGATGTGTACAGCAAAAATTTTCATATTTATTTCATTTTGGGTCTCAGTGCTTCTTTGATTTTCAGTGCATGAAGGGGTGTACCTCATTCAGGTCCCTGACTTTGTATTTTCGTTTGTGTTTTCTTTCACTAGTCCAAAAAAGCCCTAAAGACCTGATTAAAATGCTCAAGAAAAACAGAGGCAAGGCAACAGAGAACCTATCAACTCCAAAAGCAGACAACAGAGCATAACAAACAAAATCATTATCATATCAGTGCAGACACTCACTTAGCCCAGTGACACATTAATAAAATCACAGAGCTGCCATCCCTGCACCCCTCACAGAAGCAAGCAAAACAGTCCCCAAAAGCTCACCAGGATAAAGCCTTTAATAGAATACATGCAAAATAAATAAACCGTATAATATTTATAAATACATCCAACTGGGAAGTACCCCCCATGAGCACAGGGGGCAAATAGTAAATAAAAGGCAAAAAATATAATCAACAACCCCACCATCTTCTATTCTCTTCATTGATTCCCCCAGGCAGGCCAAATAGGCAGCAAAAATAATCCAAGGACCACAGAAGCAGAAAATTCTCAAACAAATTGAGGGAGAGGGCGATTCAGAAAATAATCCCAAGGAAATATGCTGCCCAGCAGCAACACCAAAATAATCATATAAATGTGGGAAAGCCTACCTAGACAAAAAGACAAAAAAAGAGGCAAAATCCAAGATGGAGGCACAGAGGCAGGCAGGCAATGCAATCCAAGATGGAGGGCACCAGGAGCTTGCACACCCACAAGAAATAACTGAAGCAAAAAAAAGAGAGCATTCCTCACTGGGTTCCAACGAATCCAGGTCTTTTTACATATATAACATTTCTGTTCCCCTCTAGATGTTCTGATTGTTTGCTGACAACATCCCTCACAATGCTTTTTTTAGATTAAAAATTTCCCAGGCAGTTTGATAAATAAAGAGTGAAAGAAAGGTTAAACAAAAAAGGGAAACAGGGAAGCATGAAACTTTCATGTACCTCTTTTCATTCATGTTTAAGAGCCTCTCTTTTAGTAATCAGTGAAAGAATATAAAAATGGAAAAAGGAGCCTCTCTTGTGTATTTCCTTTTCTGTGTTAACAGAAAAGGTCCATTCTTATTGGGGACATGGTTTTTCCTCATGAAACTGCAGAATGGAATGCCTTCCTAAAGAGGTACAGCAAGCTCAGCTTCTGTTATTATCCGTGTGAAAGGACTTTAGTGCAAGTTAATCTTGTGCTGGTAGTAGTTACAGTCAGAATATTAATGGCCTAAATCCTCTTGCCCTGTGTCATAATGTAAGGGAAGATACATGTTGAACACTTGTGTCTCTGCTTGTTGTGATTCAGTGTACTTTTTGTCACTCTCATGCCTGCCGTAGTAGCCTTCAGATTGTATTCGTGTAATGTGGAATGGATAGTGTGTAGAGCTCTATTTGGATCGCAAACTTCAGTTGGCTCAGAATGCAGCTACCCAGCTATTGGCCTTGTACAGCCGCTGTGAGCATATAACACTAATATTAAAGGAACTATATTGATTTTCAGTTAGATTTTGGACTCCATTGAAGGTGCTGGCTTTGGCCTTTTGAAGCTATAAACTGCCTTAGTTCAGGTGATCTCAGGGAGCAATTCCATCTGTATGAAATGCCTTTGCACACACACACAATAATTGGTGATCTGGGATGCCCCTTCAGTCTGAAGTTAGGTTGGTATCCACCAGAAACACTATGGTCTATCTGTCATTGCATTATCCTTGCAGTAATGCTCCCTCTAGTGAGGCCTTCCTGGCTTGTCTGTTATTGTTCGTAGACCATTGTGACAGGCATCTGGAGTCCTGGGGATAAGCAACATTATGCAACTTTAAATATAAAATACAGAGTTTCAGAAACCATTTACAAATGCCGTAGTTTTGCTGTCATCCCTTTTGTTTTAAGAGGTGTCAGTGTTGCCAGTCAGTATATTCTTCCTTAGCATAAACATTGACATTTGTATTAGGGAAACAATATAATGCAATGGATAGAGTATCAGACTGGAGCTGAAATCCTTGCTTGGCTGTGGAAACTCGCTGGAAGATGGCAGTGGTAAAGCACTCCATGAACACCTCACCTGAAAAAAAACATTGGGGTCAGCAGAAGTTGGAAATTACTTGAGCATATATAACAACAAGTATCACTACTTAAATTTTGTATACCAGAGTGGTTTACTTGCTTACCACCTTGTCCTGGCAAAAGGGAATATAAATGAAAGCTGGTCTCACTTAGACTGCCTCTTGAAAGAACTTGCGTCCAATTATTCTTCCTGATTAATATTTTCTTAATATCTTCTTTCCCACAGTGCCAGAACCTATTAAGACCAGTTTAAGCCAGCCCCAACCTGCCGGTACCAGTACCAGTACTTCCACCAGCACTATTACTAACAATAGCAATGGCAAGCGTGCATCTGCCAATGGGCAGCAGCCAGCTGCATCCCGATACCTGCCTCGTGAGGTGCCTCCACGCTTCCGCCAACAAGAACAGAAGCAGCTCCTAAAGAGAGGCCAGCCTTTGCCGACTGGAACTCTGATCAGCACGAGCCCAGCACAAGGTACTGGACAAGCAGGAACAAGTCCTCCTCCCCAGCCAGGAGCAGGTGGACATCACCACCCCAGTAAGACTCAGACCCCAACAGGTAAGAGAGTTGTGCTTCCTTAGTACATTGTATGCAGAGAGGTCTTGTTCAGGTGCTCAATGAAAGAGTTGATATTTAACTCAGAATTGCCTTCCTCTCATTCACAGCACTGTGCCAGTTTAGAGAAGAAGATTTCGTTCTGTTCTATGTTATAAGGGCAAGTTCACCTAGGAAACAGGAGTGAATAATGTAGACATGAAACTCTCTATTCTTCAAAAAGACAAAAAAAGAAGCAATATTGGTAACTTATTAAAGAGTAGACACATACTAACTTAGTGTTACCTGTTTAAGCGGTGCTAACCTGTAATTAATTGGACAACAGTGAGAACTCCTTCCATCTCTTTGTCCTTGTGTGCCTTGGAAGAGATTTGATAACCAGGAATAACTCCATTATGTTGACCTCGTTTTTGAGATTTTTACCAAACAGACTATATAAGGCTTTGTTCCTCTGTTCAATGCTGAAATGACATCTTCAAATCTTCTTGCATATTGAATGGCAAGTATAAACTTTATGCTAGGAAGCAAGACGTTTCAAATAACATACTAGCTTGTTGAACTATATGTTTACCCGTATTGTTTACTGTGAGCAAATGGAGTGCAGTGGAAGTCTGCTGTAAAGCTAATGATAGTTTTTCTAAAACAATCAACAGATTTCCACCTTTGTTTTGTTGATCAGTTTGATTTGTTCTTTGTAATTCTCAGGCACAGTAAAAAGGATTCCCTCCTGAGATAAATGAGTTTGTTTCCAATGCAGTCTGTTTGAAAGCTTAAGAGCATGTGAAATTGGTGAAGTTAATAAAATCAGCTTCTTGCCTGAAGGTCTTTTAACAAATACATAAGAACACAAGAGCAACCCTGTTGGTTCAGGCCAAGGGTCTATCTAGTCCGGCTTCCTGTATCTCACAGTGGCCCCACCAGATGCCTCTGGGAGCACATGAGACAACTAGAGACCTGTCTCCTGATACCCCTCCCCTGCATCTGGCATTTGGAGGCCCTTTCCTTTTAGGTCTGGAGATGATACATGCCCATCATGGCTTGTAACCTGCAATGGACTTTTCCTCTAGAAATCTGTCCAATTCCCTTTTAAAGGCAGCTAGGCCAGATGCCAGGATATGTCCTGTGGCAAGGAGTTCCACTAACAATATGCTGGGTCAAGAAATATTTTCTTGTGTCCATTCTCACTCTCCCAACACTCAATTTGAATGGATGTCCCCTGGTTCTGGTATTGCGTGAAAGGGAAGAGAGCTTCCCTCTATCACTTCATCCAGCCCCTGCATAATTTTATACGTCTCAATCATGTCCCCCCCTCAGGCACCTTTTCTCTAGACCGAAGAGCTCCAAATGCTCTAGCCTTTCCTCATGAGGGAGGTGCCCTAGCCCAGTCATCATTTTAGTCATTCTCTTCTGAACCTTTAATCATTTTAGTCATTCTCTTCTGCACCTTTACCAGTTCCATAATGTCTTTTTTGAGGTGCGGTGACCAGAACTGTACACAATATTCCAGGTGCGGCCTTACCAGGCTTTTGTACAATGGCATTACGATGTTGGCTGTTTTGTTTTCAATTCCCTATTTAATGATACCTAGCATGGAATTGGCCTTCTTCACTGCCACTGGGTTGACACTTTCATTGAGCTGTCCGCAGCACACCAAGTTCTCTTTCTTGATCTGTCATGGACAGCTCAGAACCCATTAAATGATAACTAAAGTTTTGATGTTTCTCCCCAATATGCATTACTTTACATTTTCCTATATTGAAGCGCATTTGCCATTGTGCTGCCCATTCTCCTAGTTTGGAGAGATCCTTCTGGAGCTCTTCACAATCCCTTCTGGTCTTCACCACCTGGAAAAATTTTGTGTCATTTGGAAAATTGGCCGCCTTACTGTTTATCCCTGTCTCCAGGTCATTGATGAACAGGTTGAAAAGCACTGGTCCCAGGACACATCCCTGGGGCACACCATTTTTCACCTCTTTTCACTGTGAAAATTGCTCCTTGACATGTACTTTCTGTTTCCTGGTTCTCAACCAATTCTCAGTCCATAAGAGGACCTGCCCTCTTATCCCCCGACTGTGGAGTTTTCTCAGCAGCCTTTGCTGAGGGCTCGTGTCAAACGCCTTCTGAATATCCATTGGTTCACCTGCACCCATATGTCTGTTGACCTTTTCAAAGAATTCTAAAAAGTTTGTGAGGCAAGACTTACCCTTAGAGAAGCCATGCTGATTTTCCATCAGCAAGGCTTGTTCTTCTACTTTACAGCTTAGAATATTAGTAGAGAGTAACAACAACGAGAGGGGACCTGTGGAAGTAGCTAGCAAACTGCCCTTTGCACATGTGTAACAATTAGCCTTTCAAAAAGCCTTAGTGGATGCTAGTGAAAACGTTTTAAGAAGCAGATTATCTTGTGCTGGGTATGAGGTTTGACTAACATTTCCATTTCTAAACTCTGCACCCTCCCCACCCACAACCGCCACTGATGTCCGTGCAATCTTTTGCCCCATAGCAATTTTTAAAAGCTTCCTTTTAATGGATTGCCTGGCAGGGTGAATGTGTTAAAAAAGAGAAAGAAAGAGGGAGTACATAGTGATATAGGCCCTACTTGCATTGGGCTTTGGCACTGTAGGCTACTAGTCAGCAGAGCCTGGTAGTTGGAACATTTCCCACAAGCAGTTGTGACCCTTGATCTTAAAAATATTCCTAGTCTTGATACAGAAGAGCATGTATGCCCAAATAAGGTAGGATGATGCCAAATTTTCTTTGGCTTCAGGAATTAGTGTGTTGATGCAGGTTAAGATCAATAAATTCATTATGAAAACATACCTCTCTCAACTTGGCATACCTTAGAAGCATGGTGCCCAAAGTGGTAGCTGTTCCTCCCAAAGGAAAGAGAAGTAACATTAGGGAAGTGTACATTCCTCTCCTCAAGATATCTTAGCTTGAACTTGTTGCATCTTGATTGGGCCAAACATTGGAATGCTAACCACCTCCTTTCATGTTCATGTAACTTAAGGATCTTCAGCTTCTTGAATTGTTGTTGTCAGATAGTAAGGGTTATTCAGGCAACTCCATATTATATTCATTTTATTCCCTTGAAATTGCATTGTGAGCAGGTGTTAAACCATAATGGTGTTCTTGAATATTCCTGTGATGTGTCAAGCAAATGCTATCAGCCAAACTAGTTCTCACGCTGAGAAACTCTCATAAAGTATCTTGTAAAGTTAGAGAAGTGCACGTGTTTTGAAGACCTGTTTTGTTCACTTAATCAAAATTGTGTTTTTTACAGTGGAGCAACATTGAATTCTCAGTAAATTATAGTTCTGTGCTAAGTGATTTATATACAGTGGTGCCTTGCATTGCGACATTAATTCGTTCCAGTGTAATCGCTGTTGAACGAAAACGTTGCAGTGCGAAATAAAAAAGCCCATAGAAACACATTAAAATGCGATTAATGCGTTCCTAGGGGCTTCAAACTCACCGTTCAGGGAAGATCATAGCGCAGCCATTTTCGCTGCCTGTTAAGCGAGGAATCCGTCCCAGAAAACAGCAGGTGGCCATGTTTTTTTCCCAGTGGCCATTTTGAAACCGCCGATCAACTATGCGAAAATGGTCACTTTGCGATGATCGGTCATCGCAAAGTGAAAATGCCCCATAGGGAACATCGTAAAGCAATTGCTTTTGCAATCGTAAAAAGTTCGTCGCAAAGCAATTTTGTCGCTAAACGGAGCGCTCGCTAAGTGAGGCACCATTGTGTTATTTTAGATTTGTTCTGGCCAAATTGATTCATTGATTCATGTAATGTGGACATTAGCTCCTGTTAAAATAACAATTTTCATTTTCTTCAGTTATTTGTAACCTGTGTAGGTGAATATAATGCAACATGTAATCTTGCTTCAAGCTTGGTTGATTTGTCAGACCTAGATTTTAGGTGTTTGACTTTCCCAAATAATCCTACAAAAATTCCGTAGACCTCCAGGGTAAAAGTTTAATTTATCCTACAAGAGTTTGCAAATTATATAGCTTTTGTTTTGTTTTTTTCTGCCTATAGCTAACTGGGCTTCAGGGCAAGCAGATACTTTAGCTCCTCTAACCCTGACCCCATCTTCCCTTTTCAACAATCCTAGTGCTTGCCCACATAGTAGTAACAATGAGCTTGGGCATTCTTAGTTCACAGAGGTGTGATACAAATTGCATGCATACCAGTTGTTGGTTTCCTGCACCACCCAGTCTGCCTTCGATTAGCAGATTATGTGATTAAAATGAATGTAGGAATTAGGTGTGACTATGAAGGCCGAAGAGTTAATACAGAGTAAACTGTTCAGTGCTGTTTTTCAAAAAGCAGTGAATTACTCTGTTTCCACACTGATTTGAAACCAGAAGAGTTCAAACCATTTGTATAGAATGCTGATTTCGCTGTCAGGTGTAGGACTTTGCTTCTCAAAATCTGAGTTTGCAACTATGCCTTCACTTAGTGTAAGCTGAGATGTTTTACAGCTGTTGCGTTAAGAAACTTCAGACCGTAAGTTGGCAACCATGCAAGTTCCAAATGCATTATGTGATATTTTAGCAGGATGAACTAGTCCTGTGAGAGATAGTAGGCTCTATGCCAATTTATATCACAAGTGAGTGGGATAACTTGTGGAAACCAGAGTATATTTCTTCCGAATGACAGCTTGATTTTTTTTAAAAAGGACTACTTATGCTGATGTAGGCAATGTGACTGCTTGTTGTTGTTTAGTCCTTAAGTCCTGTCCGACTCTTCGTGACCCCATGGACCAGAGCATGCCATGCCCTCCTGTCTTCCACTGCCTCCCAAAGTTTGGTCAAATTCATGTTGGTAGCTTCGATGACACTGTCCAACCATCTCATCCTCTGTCGTCCCCTTCTCGTCTTGCCCTCACACTTTCCCAACATCAGGGTCTTTTCCAGGGAGTCTTCTCTTCTCATGAGATGGCCAAAGTATAAGGATCTGTCCTTCCAGTAAGCATGAGTATGAATGCTTAGGC